TGATGCTGTGACAGTCTGACTAGGGCTCTCCCAGAACCTGCCCGTGTGCGTGAGTGCTCTTAAATAGTCTGCACCTTTCTTTTGATTAGTTGCGGCGTATGGAGTAAGGCAGACGCTCGTAACCCGATTGGTGAGTGGAAAGTCGGCGCCCTCGGGGCTACAGAGCGCTAGTTGGATGTGAAGGGTCATGTATAATCCAGAAACCCTCATGATAGGCCACATGCAAGGAAGTCTGCTAGTGTCAAAGCCTGCTCGCGACGTACTCTGTAGTAAAATACTCCGATTTAATTTAATTACTGTAAAGCAACTCTACTATAGGAAAGCAAGTTTAAGACGAGGGTGGGGCCTCAACTGGTACGGTCAGGCCAGCAGAACAGAAGTCAATCAGCAGTGGCGGTATGCGTTAGTGACAAAGTATTCCTCCAATCTTGACGCGACAATGGCTGATAAAAAAATTAGAGGATAGCCTACGAAAACTAGAAACTAACAATTTAAAAGCCCGGACGAAGTAGGTAGGACGACTACAGGTATGGAGTTAAGAAAAAAAACTCCTTAGACATTTTCAGGACATTTTCGACCTTTGGAAGGTAAGACAATGGAAACGTTCACGTGGCGAAAGAAGACAAACAAAACTCTTAAGATGGATGTCACCCTAACGTAGATAGGAACAGGAACAGTGCATTTTCCGGGACTCACTATTGACAGGACCCACAGGGGTGCTCAAAAATAAAACCATTATTATTAGTATATACTACCAAATCTATAAAACTTTGAACTGGAAGCCTGATCTCTGGAAAAGAAGCTTCGACTGATGCCTCGAGTTTGTGCACGAGCCCATAATCAGAGACACTAGTAATGGGCAAGGGAGCAACCAACTTTAGTAGACGCGCAGTGGCATAGCAACTACATACAGTGAATACGGCATCTCGCGCGTCCGTTACCTGTTCTGTTGTGGTCCCTTATAATACGTTTGAGACTGAATCCCAAACTGAAAAATCAAACTCCCTTGAAGCAACTATGGCACCTCTGCCGCACACAAGCCCGGCGAAATTCCGAAGTTCAAGAAATAGTTAAGATTCTGGCCTACCTAGTATTTATTAGTATTTTCAATTGAAATATTGCTGCACTCAACTACAGTCAAATGGACAGGGGTAACGTTAAGGAATTCGCGAATTCAATTGTCTGGGAAAACTTTCACGTTAAGCGGCGTAGAGTCAACATCTGACAAAATCCCATTCGCAAGTTGCCACCAACAGTTGACGCTATCATAAATAAAACAGTAAATTAAGTGACAAATCACTCTGCTATTGATCCTAGCAATTAAGGCTGCATGAAAAAACTATTGTTAGATCAAACTTCTAAAAAGTATATATTGCAAAATGATATCAACGAACCGGTAGAAATATAAACTTTGCGTCATTGATTTTCAATGATTTCTAACTGAAAGTCTTACGAGGTGGAATGACCCTATTCGGAAGGTAATATAGTAAGTCTCCCAGATTAGAAAGAGGTTGTGCATGTCTGTCCCTCATCGACAATTATGTTTTAGATTTTTGAGACCGTTGTGAAGTAATGACACATAAAGGACAAAAATTGCTGCAAAAAGATAACCCAACTATGCAGCTAACTGCAAGATAACGAATTCACTAAATGCGATAAAAGTGTGCAGTAGCTATGATAGTTCGAGGGCCAAGCCAATGAGGGAAGCTCGAATTTCCTGGGAATTCACAGACCAAACTAATAGAATGATAGGAAGCATATGTACCCCGAGGACAAGAAGGAAAAAAAATCCTACTTACTTATCTATCAGATATACTCCTAAAAGGCCCATGAGTAACAATGAGAAAACTGGTAAACAAAACAAGTTGAACTGCGATGAGATACGGAGCTAGGTAAATCGGTAAGACGATTACTATAACGAGAACCTGCAATAAGGCTTAATCGAATAATTACGAAATAAATTAAGGGTACGCTTAAAGGGATTTATTTAGTTCGAGGTCTTAGTTTACCACAGAAATACAGCAAGTCCTTTTGAGTATTTTTTTTCAGTTTTGACTGCCACTGCCAACATATATCAATAATGTTCACATTACCAGTTGCGGCTTAACATACAAGTCTCAAAGTAAGGCAAAATGTATCAGAAAACGTAATGAAGACTGATTTTTTTGCAGAAAAGCAAAGCAATACCAGTTTTATCGGGCAGTAACAGGGGGTACGTGTAGGCAAGATGTGTGTATGAACATAAAATTTTTTGCATATCTGAAGATTTTTTATTTGAAATTAAAAATATTTATTTGTGATTTTTTAAACCCACTACTTTACCTGTTGGTCATGGAGTAAAAAGGCTTATATCAATCCATGTCACCTCCGTTCTTCCCTCCCCAGTTAATGAATTTTGCATTCGAGTAGCGCTGCTTAAAAAGGAAGGAGGTGCGAATATTTTTTATCCAAAAACACTATATGGGTTAGATTACGTGTTTATGGCAAAAATGCACGGGTCCACCGTCGAATAACCAAGAGACAGAAGCTTTGCGGATAAGGTCAACATACACAGAAAAAAGGAAACGGCTAGGCAGTGATATGAACTAGGCAAACAAAAAAAACTTAGTCCAGGACAACTATTCGAGCTTACAAGCGCCAGTGCCAAGTTGACGTCAACACACAGTTTATTACAGAATAGACATCTCGCCGGTGGTAACTGGTAAAATGATTGCGGCAGTTTTGCATCATATTTTGCTTCGAATAACTTAATTAACTGTTGAACTTAACCAGACGTTTGATGGTATCATAACTAGTGAAGGCTCTGACGACCAAGAAGTTGCGCTGTCAATACCCCGGATCAGTTTTATCATTGATAACGATGACTTTTAAGCTGTAGAGGACAGAAGAGACAATAATCTTTCTACGTACATGGAGAACCGGTCAAGCAAGCCTCGGTGCCAGAGGGGTGGTTGAGTTCAGTCTTGAGAAGTAGGCCGCTGCAATTGGTACCAGAAACTGTCAACTGAGCATTGGTGTCCCCAGTTGCCATTGCAGCTGCGGCGGCCGCAGCAGCGGCCTCAGCTTTACGTTTTCTTCGTCTTTCAGCCTTCCGTAGGCTCTTTGGATCTGGCTGTGTGACCCGGAACTCGGTGTAGTCGTTAAAAACGACTTCTGAGTCGGATAGTTCAGGGCGTTCGCCTCTAAGATACTCACGCAGTTTTCGGAGGGCAATGAAAAAGGGCAGTTTGTCTTCAGCACGAGGCAACTGAGCGCATCGGGCACTTGAAGAGGGCATAACGAAAACAACCTATAAAATGTAAACGATAATTCAGTGGTCTGCGTTCAGAAAGTAGAAGAATAGTAACTTCATTAGATACCATATGCATCTTACTGTGTCTGTTCCTGCGAGTGGCTGGGGCTGCTTTCCCATACTGAAGTTTTTGTGACCAATGAAGGCTTCATAAATACCTGGAAAATTGAAATTAGGTAAATTAACCGAAAAAGGGAAAAGTAAATCAGGAGAATCGTGCCATTTTACGGCCTAACCCACGTAAGCATACATACCATAAACTTTGTCTTTCTAACGCGAATTCAAGAAAATATTACAGTCAACGCAGTGTACGAAAAAAATGTAATCATACAATATTAAAGCATGCAAGAAAGATAAATATGCAAACTCGAATAAGAATCTTTAACAGGTCATTGAAAGGGAAGGAAAAAGACATATGAAAAATTTAAAGCAAGAAAATTTATACCACAGTAAACCACCTTTTCCATTAAAAACTGCAATCTTGGGCTTGTATTTACGAATTTTGTCCAACATAACGGCTGAGCCAGCCTTCATCTCTTTGCGCGTGAGTTCAGCTGCTCCTTTAGTTGCACGCGTGCAAACGTTTGTGAATCCGATTCCGTAGTCAAGCATATTCATGTCATCATAACATGTGACTTCCGTCGGAACCAGGCCGGCCTCGGTCAAACAGGTCCCTAAAATGCTGAATTATACGGAAAATTCAGAATGTACAAAAGTGATTTCCAGGACCCGCGTAGTGATGACCCAGATGAGCCGAGGCTATACTCGGATTAATTCCAACCTACATGGTTAAAAAATATATATGTTTCTTACGATCACAATATCCAAGCCCTCTTTTAAGTGATCGGGCAGAGCATTGCTGCAAAGCTGTCCATCAACGTTCGCGTTAAGACTGTCATTCGTTTCACAGGTACTGCTACAGTGATCACCAGAAATTTGGATTCCTCCACCTAGTTCACTATTAGTTATGTCAAAGAGCCGTCTTGTAGGTTGCTTACCTCGCTGGAGCCTGATATTCGTCAACTTTCGTGGGTAGCGACAGGGCATGATTAAAATTGTTCACAGAGGGACTGAAAACATAACAAACGTATATTAAGAGCGAAACCTTTGGACACTTTGATTTTCAACAGAACTTTCATCCATTTTCATAACCGTATGCGTAGTTGTGTAAATTTGCGGCCAGTCCATAACTCACGTAAATTAAAAAGGAACGCCGCCAAAGTTGAAGGTCGACTATCTACGAACCAATGAAAGGCTGAAAATTCTGAAGGCTGAGTTAAATAGACAATTCAAAGAACTCTAACTTTTTCGGCGCCAAAACCCCTAATTTACTAATTAGCACATAAACCAACTTCTTGTGTCTGCTTCTGGGTTAAGTATCGGTTAGAATTATGCTTTGCGCTGGATTTACACAGGAAACGCTCTGGAACAGGAGCATACGCAGAACAATGCTAGCATATAGGTCACGTGCAGCATTCAAATACAAAGTTTAAAATTGTAATTTGAGAACATATTGGGCTTTGTCCAAATTTTCGTACTTTCTGTACGCAGCTTATGATACAAATAACTATCAATGTTAAGCTTATAGTCATGCGTTGAAAAAAGGAAGACTGTTGAACGAAGCAGATAAATTGTGAATGGAATCGTGGTGAGAGTTCGGAGAAATCAAGCTTTACAGGTGAGCTGCTCAAGAGAAAAAGCGATCCATGAAAGTTTAGGGAACATAAGGCTTTGTTGATCGTGAGGGAAAGTCAGAATGTGAACGGTGTGTGTCGGAAATCCAGAGGGCCATTGAATTTGTTGGCCGTCAGGTGCTGATAAACTATGACAAATGACAGATATCTGAGAAATAAGGCCACAACAGAATGTATGATGGATATTTTTTTCTCCGGATTGAGCCGGATTTGTTCAGCTTCCGTCGGAACACGGCGGCAAGCGTATAAAAGGGAAAACTAGCTAGTTGCGACAGGCCTTGTGTGAGATCGACAAAAAGAGGAAGGCGACTGCCTTCCACCGACGGTAACAGAATGCCGACAGTAGATTTACCGCGCAAAACGGAGGCGATTTGGCAAGCATGCTCCACGAATCCTAGACTTTTAATCCGATATAGTGGTCGGCAAGGGTAGTTTGTATCGCGAAACACCCGTTTCCTGGACCAAAAACATAAATTTTTGGTGAGAAAATAGCGACTGACGAAATTAGATGCAAAGAGGACGGGTTGGCTGGACAGGGCAGCTTTAAAGAGGATCAATATACAACCACAGGTTGTACACCCTAAGGACAGGGTCAGCTATCTTTAAAGTCACTTTAAGTCACTGCATTCAGAGAAGAAGTCTTTCGCCCTTGAGTTCCCTATTCATATCCAAAAGTTGCAAAAGAATTTTACCTTAAGAATATAATATAAGACAAAATAGGCTTAGCATCAGCGATAACTGTGAGCTAGGTTCAAACTGCTGCTACTAACATTATGTTCATTATATCTACCACAGTTTCTCAGCAAATGAGAATCAAATTTGCGTTGGGAAATATCAACAGTATCTGAGAGGACCACCTCGTCAGGGAGTCCGTTCCACACTCCGGTGGCCCTCCGCGGGAAGGCATTCCGTCGAACGTCCATATGGGCCGGTTTCCTCTACATTTTATAGGGATGACCCCGCAGAGGATGCGTCCGAGCCAATTCGAAGAATTCATCAAAATATATGGAGCATTCACGGCCTCCGACATTTCGGTAGGTTTGGATGAGGTCACAGAGGAGTTGCCTGTAATTAAGAGGAAATAAATCAACTTCAGTCACTCCGTCGTCATAAGGTAGATGACCAAGATTCTTGACCATCTTTTTAGCCCCCGCCTGCACTCGTTCCAGGTGGAAATAGTCCCTCGTAAACCACGGACGGCATGCCTGGTCGGCATACTCCAAGTGGGAATGGACAAATGCTCCGTATGTCTTTCTGAAGAGTCCCTTGTCGATGTGGACGAATCCTCGTCTGATCGCAAACAGCACCCGTGTCGCGAGTTTAGCTGCCTTTACACACTGTGAAGATGGTTTAAGCGGGGGGTTTATTATAACACTGAGGTCTATCTGTTCATCAACATTTGAAAGGGGTAGACCATCGAGGAGTTATTGAAAGGAATCATTCTCTCTAATGGACCTTCTATTACGGAGCCGTAAAACCACACACTTACTAGCGTTGAAGCCTAAGATCTAACGAGCACACCAGTTGCTAATTCGATTGAGGATCTCTTGAAGTGCATGCCTATCGGCGTCAGACTTGAGAGCTCTCCAGAGTTTGATATCATCAACAAACATGATGGCGCGGCAACCCAGGGCGCCGACACAGTCGTTGATATAATTAAGGAAGTGCAGTAGCCCAGAGACAGAGCCTCGGGGGACACGGCTTACAACAGATGTAGGGATTGACTTCGAGTCACCGATGCACACAGTTTGAGATCGCCCCGTGAAAAAATCTGTTATCCACTCCAGCAGGTTTCCTCTTATTCCAATTTCCGATAATTTATACATTAGGCGTTTATTTGGGACGCTATCGAACGCCTTCTTGAGATCCGTATAAATGAAGTCAACCTTACCATCTTCATCCAGTGTGCGAGTCCTTTGCTCAGTCGAGAGCAATAGGCTGTAAAGACGAGAGTGGTTCTGTCTGAAGCCGTGTTGGAACCCTGTCAGTGATTTGTTCTCCTCAGGCACTTCATTGTCCCCTTCTTAATTATCTTTTTCACCACCTAACAGCAAATGCATGTTAGGCTGACGGGCCGATAAGGTGTCGTGTACAAGATCCAATGTACCAGTTGTGATGCAGTTATTTGTGGTCAATTGGGAAATGCGCCTCAACCCGCATACAGGAACATCAATTATCGAACAGAAGACGTGACCACTTATCCCAGGTGGCCATGCACACTAGAAATCGGTCACAAGTTCGCGTGGGAGAACACATCGACTGTCGGCACTTGCCCAACCAGAAAAGGCCGTGACTTCATAGAGGCAGTGCACTCAGATGATGCATGCACCAACAGGCGTATCGATTTGGATGCGAGCCATAATTATCTTAAGGCCAAAGTGCAGCGCGCACGGCCAGCCACGGCAGGATGACGAAATTTATGCAACGCCTATTGGTGCAGACTTCAGCTAATTGTAGTATACTTTGTTAGACACGGTCAATTACGTTAACTGTTCCGGTAGATACCCCATAGCCTGGCGACGAGCTGGGAAACCAGCCTGGAAAATGTATGCATCAAAAATTTAAGTTTCCCGAAGAAGCATTTCCTTTCTCAAAGGCAAAAGATGGCAGGAACTATACCGATACGCATAATTTTATTTTCATAGTGCCTTTCGGGTGCTGAGCACTACACATTTGAAGACAGCGTAAGTAGCAGAATTTAATGGCACCATAAATTTCGCGAGCGCTCATCAGCCGCTTCCACTCGCTTCATAAACAGAATAACGAATGATAAATTGCAGAATTTAATTCATACAGAAAAA